AGCTTTTTCTTTTAACTCCATGTACGCGATTCTGATAAGACACCCTCTTTAACACTCGCGCGAAAAAGAGAATGTTTCGCGAGAAGTTGATTTTCATACAAACGTGATTCGAATTCCAATAATTTTTATCCTATACTGGAAGAAAGTTCGTTACAGTAACGAACTGGAAATCTTTATCCCTTGAATCGTCTTAATTCGGTCTCGAGGATATACACGCGGATCGAATTGTCTCTTTTTCCTCGCGTCTTTGTTTTCTTCTCCCCTCGATGTATTCTTAAAGATATTGGAAAAAACATTTATCTTAAAATATCGGGTGGCAGTGCATTTTAAACACTCGTAATAATGTTATTATTCAATGGAATATTCCATCAGTTTCATTTTTCAAACAATACGATTCCACTTTCGCGAGCTTAAATAAATATTCCTTATTGTGAATAAATCGTGAGGTTTTGAAAAATATTATATTTAAGATGTTTGGCGATTGTGTATTTTTAAACACTCGTTTCAAAACGATTTTTGTTACTCAATGGAATATTCTATTTATTTCCATTTTTCATTGGAAGCAATCAAGATAATACGATTCTATTTCTGTAAACTGAAATAAACGATTGCTCGTTGTTTTAAATAAATCGTACGATTCTTAAAGGTATAAAATCATCATAAGATTGATCTTACTGATCTTTTTAATTACAAAACAATTCTCTTTCATTTCTATAAACCATTAAGCCAAATCGTACAGTTTCGATACTGTACACATCAGCTTCAGTTTTCTTAGTCTCTCGTCTGAAAAAGAATAACCGAAAGGAGAGAACTAAAAAAAGGAAGAATCGTAGCGTTATTTCCCTCCCTTCCCTTAGAAGAAAAGGTTATTCACCGTCTAAAAGCGCGAAGTTAAGAGGCCGAGTCCGCGCCCCTTTGTCAGCCCTTTCGATGTTAACAAGAGAGAGCCCTCCTTCCTCCCCCCTAGCTCCTATTGCTGCGACAGCTTCGACAGATTTTTCGCGCACACGTGTCGCGATCGATTCCACTTTTTCCACCATCTCTCCCTATCTTCTCTTCCTTCTTTGTGGCTTGAAAACCACCCACCCCTTCCCCATAA